TGATCAGAAAAGAAAAGAAACACTCTTAAAAGAGGCAATCTTCGATTCCTGGAAAACATTACCCCAGAGGACAAGCAACTGCAAGGAGGAAAATGCTATTGAAAATGCCACTGTTCCCAAAGGGAGTTGGCAAAAGAGAGAGAAATCACACAACCGGATAGGTGGACCGAAATTCGGTTAGCGATTTGGAGGCACTCGAATCAAGCTTTTTGAAAAAACAGAACTTCACATTCGATGATGGAGAAATGTTTTAAGAAAACTTGAACGAGGTATGACCTTGGAGGAGATACATGGTAGTTGCATTATTTGCACCATTTTAACATCCATTTAGCATAGCATTTGCATTGTGTCATGCATTAACTTGTCTATTATTAAGTCTTAGCATTAGATCTTGTATTTCCTTACATTTTGAGTGTTATATTAGGTGATTTGGACCTTATGGGGACTTGCTGGAGCTTGGATGATGAGCTAGGACCAAAGAGAGCTGAAAAAGAAGCAAACAAGAATCGCCTGGTGCCATACTGATGTGTACATACCGAGATGTGGTATGAGCCACAAACCAATACAGCTGAAACAAGGGAGGTCATACTGACTTGTAACAAGCTTCTGTACTGATGTCACACATCGGTATGATCCTGGCATAAGGCCACACCGACATGCCATACCGAGATGTGCAAAGAAATACAAGTTCATGCTGCCTGAAGTGATTAAAAGATCAGACCATACGAAGGGTTTCCATTCCAATTCATCTTCTAAATTATTCATGAAATATATAGATAATTGAATTATCTTTCGGTGGATTGTGATTTTATGTCATTACGATCAGTAGTTGGAGAGATAGGGAGGTTTTAATTAGCATATATCCATCAGCCAGAACTTCCATACCGAGAAAGCCATACCGATGTCACACATAGGTATGGAGATTCCATGAGGTCAGACCAACGTGGAATACCAAGGTGTGGTTTGTGAAACAAACTGATATGAGCATTGATCTGACCATTTTTTAGAGTTGACCCATGACGGCTACTGTTCAGTATAGAAGCGCAAATACCTAAATTTTTTTTGCTAAGTTTTATTTTCTTGTTCTTCCTTAAGTAAAACCTTTCTTTTTATTCTAAACATAAATTGTGAGATACTTTCAAGAGTTTCTGCAATTTAGAGTTTATCTTTAATAATATTTTATCTTGTTCTTCTCTAATCATGATTAGCTACACTTATATCATTAGATTTGTAGTTTTAAGAATGATTAGTGAGTAGTGATTTGATGATTAATTTATGATGCTTTGAGCTTAATTATAATTGATCCTCTCTTGTTTAGTGATTTTAATACTAGATTAGCTTTGAAAAAAGTTATTTAGACCAAATGGCATTTTCCACCCACAAAGTGTTTAATGAAATGTCTCAACCAACTAAATTAAGAGATTAACTTGCTTAGCCTGTAAGGATAGATATCTAAGGTGTTTATTGGTTTTATAGAACTGAAGTTTAATGGTTGTTAGTTATCTTTTCACTAATAAGAACTAGTTCTTCATTAGGTGATTAGCAAAGTAATTAGTGTCATGAGAGTAGATTAATCTTCTTTAAAAATTCTATGCCTAAGGAAAATATTACAAATGGGCGAGTTTTTATGTAATGCTTGTTCTCAAGAAAACCTCGTAACTCGGCCATCACTAGCCAAAGTTGGGAATGAATCACCAGAATTTTTGGAAAGACTACATGGCGATATATGTGGGCCGATCCACCCACAATACAGGCCGTTTAGATATTGTATGGTTTTGATTGACGCATCTAGTAGATGGTCACATATGTGTCTATTGACCATACGAAATATGACTTTCGCTAAATTTATTACCCAAATAATCAGGTTGAGAGCGCAATTCTCTGATTATGTTATAAAGAAAGTAAGGCTGGATAACGCTGGTGATTTCACTTCACAAATGTTTAATGATTATTGTATGTTATTGGGAATCGATGTTGAGCATCCGGTTCCGCATGTTCATACACAAAATGGCATGGCTGAGTCATTGATTAAACAGTTGCAATGGATTGCAAGGCCATTAATATTGAGAACAAGGCTCCCAATTTATGCATGAGGACATACTATTTTGCATGCAGCGGCCCTGATCCAAATACAGCCAAGTGCATATAATGAGTATTCTCCATTATAGTTGGTATCTGGACAGGAGCCAAATATATCCCATCTTCGTGTGTTTGGGTGTACGGTATATGTCCCTATAGCGCCATCCAAAGAACATAAATGGGACCACAAAGAAGATTGGGAATATACATCGGTTATACGTCACCAAGTATAATAAGGTATCTTGAACCAGTAACTGGTGATATGTTTACAGCACGTTTGGCCGATTGCCATTTTAATGAAGATGAATTCCCCGCGTTAGGGGGAGGATTGAGAGAATCACCAGAAGATATCACTTGATGTACAAAATCTTTGGCTTATCTTGATCCTCCTACCAATCAACGTGAGATGGAAGTTCAGAAAATTGTACATATGTAAAATATGGCAAACCAGTTACCAAATGCGTTCACAGATACAAAGAGGGTGATAAAATCATATATCCCTGCAGCAAATGTTCCATCCAGAATTAGTGTTCCTGAAGAACACATTGATGGGAACATATGGTTCATTTGAAGAGGGGGAGACCAATGGGTTCTAAAGATAAAATTCTCCGAAATAAAAAGAATATAGGAGAACAAAGTAAAAAGGTTCCAGAAGAACCATTTAATGAAAAATGTCCCGGGGACATTTGTGAAAAGGTTATAGAAGAACCAGATAAAGAGATTCGTCTTGGAGACGAATGTGAAACAGAAAAATATGAGATTTCCATCAATTACGCCCAATATGGAGAATTATGGATCAGAGATAAAATAAAAGATATTGATAGAATATTCCCATTTTCTGTATATAAAGAGCGGAAAGCAATGATCCAGATCCAAGGTCTATATTAGAATGTCAGAAAAGACATGAATGGGAGAAATAGAAAATGGTCATTGAAACAGAATTATTTTCCCTGAATACAAGAAATTTTTTTGGACCTATTGTCACAACACCAGCACATGTAATGCCTGTCGGATACAAATGGGTGTTTGTAAGAAAGAAAAATGAGAAAAATGAGGTCACAAGGTATAAAGCGAGGCTTGTGGCTCAAAGTTTTTCTCAAAGACCGGGAATTAATTATGAGAAAACATATTTCCCGGTATTGGATGCAATAACATTCAGATTCTTAATGAGTCTAGCAGCATCCAAGAATCTAGATATGTATCTGATGGATGTCGTGACAGCATATCTATATGGATCACTTGAGAATAATATATACTCCCTCTGTTTTTTATTAGATGATGTTTTAGAGATGTGCACACAGATTAAGAATTTATCTAATTATTTTTGTTGTCAAAACAAAACATATTTTTTCATCAATTCCAAAACAGTTCAACCAATAGAAAAATAGGATTCAGAATTCAACAGCTAAAACAACAAAAATACAATTAATTTTTATATAGAAATTTGAAAACATCATATATTTTGGAACAAAAGATAAACTCTAAAACATCTTCTAATAAAAAACGGAGGGAGTATATGAAAATCCCTAAAGGATTAAAAATGCCGGAAGCATTAAGATCAACATCTAAAGAGATGTGTGCGATCAAGTTACAACGATCACTTTACAGATTAAAATAATCCAAACATGTGGTATAATCGCTTAAGTGAGTATTTGTTGAGTAAAAGTTACGTCAACAATGCGATATGCCCTTGTGTGTTTATTAAGAAATCCACATCAGGATTTGTGATCATTGTTGTTTATGTTGATGACCTGAATATAATGGGAACTCAAAAAGATATTGAAGATGCAAGAACTCATATGAAAGAAGAGTTCGAAATGAAAGATCTTGGAAAGATAAAGTTTTATCTTGGGTTACAAATATAGCCTTTCCAAGATGGAGTATTTGTGCATCAATCAAATTATACGAAAAGGATCTTAAAGCGCTTTAGTATGGATAAAGCGACTCCTTTGAGTACTCCGATGGTCAATAGATCGCTTGATGTTGATAAAGATCCATTTTGGCCATGTGAGGATAGCGTAAAAATATTAGGTCCTGAAGTACCTTATATGAGCGATATCGGTGAGCTTATGTCTTGCAAATTGCACTAGATCAGATATAGCTTTTGCTACTAATTTACTTGCAAGATATAGCTCATCTCCTACACGCCGACATTAGAACGGAATAAAACGTATATTCTGTTATGTACAAGGTACCAGTGAATTTGGTTTATTTTATTCTAGAAACCCCAAGTTTGGTATGGTTAGTTTTGCAGATGGAGGATATTTATCAGATCCACATAGGACTAGATCGCAAACTGGATATGTTTTTACAATTGCAGGAACTGCGATCGCTTGGCGTTCCCAAAAGCAAACTTTGGTTGCAACGTCTTCAAATTATGCATAGACTATTGCATTACATGCAGCTTCTAGGGAATGCGTATGACTCAGATCAATAATTCATCATATACAAGATGCAAGCGGGATGAAAACGAAGAAAGAGCCAACAAAAGTGCTTGAAGATAATACTGCATGCATCAGTCAACTTAAAGAAGATTATATCAAGAGTGATCGGACGAAACATATCTCTCTAAGATTTTTCTCTTACACAAAAGAATTCGAAAAAAATCAAGAAGTGGACATCTAATATATTCGTTCGTGCGACAACACAACTGATCTATTTACGAAAGCACTTTCCATACAACATTCAGAAAACATGTTCATAACATCAGAATACGTCATTTCTGAGATTTATGAAGAAAATATTATATCCATCATTTTCAAAGGGAGCATTACTCCATTTTTTTTTTTTTCATCTAAGTTTTTTTATTCTAAACGGGTTTTCATTCCCATAGGCATTCAAAAACTTGGGCTTGTAATACCGAGTTTTAACTTTTAAGTTAATTCAAACCAGAAAAACACAAACAAAAACTCCCCACATGTATGTGCTCACTGCTCCTACGAGCTCATGGACTTTGCATGCCGTCCACTTTCTACTTCTCGCGTCTCGTAGACCGCTCTTTACTCTCAAAGTCTCCTACTTTAGCCAAAATCGTCCATGCCCAGCTCTTCAAAGCTGGATTACTGCCAAATACCTTTTGGGGAAACCGCTGTCTTCAGCTCTACTTCAAATCCGGCGCCGTCGTCGATGCTTTTCAATCATTTGACGATATCTCCGATAAGAGCATCATGTCGTGGAACATCTGCTTGAAGGGTTTACTCAGAAATGGCTATCTCAATCACGCACTGGACCTGTTCGACGAAATGCCTCAACGAGATGTTGTTACCTGGAACACAGTGATTTCAGGTTTTGCTTCTTGTGGGTTTTCTGAAATTGCGATTAGGGTTTTCTTGGATATGGTTATTCGCCCAACGGAGTTCACTTTCTCGATTCTAGCTTCTCTTGTTACTTGTGTTCGCCATGGAGAACAGATTCATGGTAATGTTATTTGCAGCGGTGTGAGTTTGTCTAGTTTAGTGGTGTGGAACTCACTAATGGATATGTACAGAAGATTAGGAGTTTTTGATTATGCTTTATCCGTGTTTTTAGCCATGGAGGATAGAGATGTCATCTCTTGGAACTCTTTGATCTTGTGTTGTTCTGATTCCGGCTACAAAGAAGCAGCCTTGGATTGGTTTCGTCTAATGAGGGAATTGGGGAATCGACCCGACGAATACATACTCTCCACGGTTTTGTCGATTTGCTCGGGTTTACGAGACCTGTGCAAGGGGAAGCAGGCTATTGCTCTGTGCGTCAAGATGGGATTTCTCTCTAACACAGTTGTTTCGGGAGCTGCGATCGACATGTTCTCCAAATGCAACAGATTGGAAGATTCGGTTAAGCTTTTTCGGCATTCAGAGAAATGGGATTCGGTGTTGTGCAATACCATGGTGGCTAGCTATTCTTGGCATGGTTTAGGTGAAGATGCTCTGAGGTTGTTTATCCTCGCCGTGAGGCAGAGCGTTAAGCCCGATAAGTTCGCTCTCAGTAGCGTTCTAAGCTCAATGAATGCCGCGATGCTAGATCACGGAGCTCAACTTCATTCTTTGGCTATCAAGTTAGGTTTTGATCGGGACACGGTAGTAGCCACTGCGGTCATGGAGATGTACTTCAAAACCGGGGTTGTTGATTCAGCAATGAGAGTCTTTGCAACAACTGTTGATAAAGATCTGTTTTTTTGGAACACCGTGATAATGGGATTGGCAAGAAACAGCAGAGAAGCTGAGTCCCTTGCCGTTTTCCGGCGATTACTGATGCACCGAGGTCTGAAACCGGATAGAGTGAGTTTTATGGGGAGCTTGTTAGCTTGTTGTTATGCTAACTTTGTTAACGAAGGGATTAAGATATTCTCGTCAATGCAAAACTCTCATGGAGTTGATCCTGAGAACGAGCATTACGCTTGTATAGTTGAATTGCTTTGTAGAGCCGGTATGATCAGTGAAGCAAGAGACATTGCAGAGCGGATACCTTTTGAACCAAGCTCTCATATTTGGGAACCGATTCTTTGTGCTTCTCTGGATCTTGAAAACATGAGTCTCGCTGAGACAGTTGCGGAAAGAATGTTGGGATGTGAACCAAAGTCAGCGTTTCCTTATCTTGTTCTGATTAAGTTGTACGAGATGACTTTGCGATGGGAGAAGTCAGTGAGGATAAGATACGCAATGGATAAACAAAAGCTAAAATGTGCTCAGGGATGGAGCAAGATCGGTTTAAAGAGCAGTGTGTACAGCTTCGAGGCTGACCAGTTGCAGATTCATGGAGGTCATGATACTTGCGCAGCCTTGGAATTACTGTCTTGGGATTCTGATGATCAGAAAATTCATTGGTCTGAAGAACATTTTTACTAACAAGATTCTTTTTGATATCAAGAACTCGCGAGTTCCAAATAGTAAGTGATTCTTTTAATCTACTTTAACCACAGCCAGCTTAAATCTCAATATCTCATTCCACCAAAAAAACTAATTGATAGTATTGGCGTATTGCACAGTACATTGGAGTACGAGAAACAATTTTGATTATAAGGAAAGTGTTCAATTCCAAACATCATTATCAACACTTTTGAGAATTGATATATTTTTAAGTTGACGTGTTTAGAACATATCCAAACTTTGCACGAACCAACCAAGTATTCTTATTACTCTCCGAGTGAACCAAAGTGGTCCAATGGTCTATTGAAGTCTTTGACCATAGAAAGACCGCTTTATCAACTGTTGCAAGGATCTTCTTTTTCAAGCACAACAGTCCTCACAGAACTGTATCAAAATATAATAAAATAAAAATACATTTAAACATGTAAAACTATGATGAGAACAAAATGTAAAAATATTAAAAAGTTAAAGAGTATGACGTCTTGAAAATACAAATTTGAAAAAAAACCTTTTACAGAAAGAAAATGATAGGTATTGACACTCCTTGCTCTTCATAAATACTAGATGAATACCCGTCCAATGCGCAAATTTTTTTTTCGAAATATAATTTGTTAAAAATTTTAGTTACAATTTATTTTATTGTATACTTAAATCTTTTTCATGAACAATAGTAATAGTTTCTCCCTTTGATTTCTAGTCGTCGTATTATTTTAACTTGATGTTGTAACACCTCTTGACTATATTTCCTAAATGTGTTACAACTAAGTAAATATATGATGTTAAAATGTATGATAAAAAAGGTATTCATCTATTATTACATAATTTGTTATTGGATGAGAAGCTTATAATTTTCATGATGATTTATTATGTCTGAATTTTTTCTGAAAATATTGTATATTTAAATAAATATATAATACATATGTATATATTATATGGATGTTAACTATATATGTGATAAATGTTTTGTCCACAAAAAAGTGTGAATTGCATTATGCTTCTGTAAAGTAGATATGATTTTAATTAATATGCAATTAAAAGATAAATAATTAATTAGTCTAACTTTGATTGCTTCATAATAATAAATTATTAATTTAAAAAATTTTAAAGGACACATGTCACTCTCTAATGCTGATGTGGCACTCAATCGAAGAGAGTTGACCATCTTTTATATTATAAATACGCCAGCTTAAGAATTACAAACCTATATATATCATGTAATCTTGCAAAGATATAATTAAGAGTAGTAGTTTTGAATGTCATTCTATAATATGGAATTTACACTACAAGAAAACAGAACCAGCTTGGTTTCTGACCAAGTGTTAGATAAAAATAAATATAATTATTTATTGATCAAATTCCGATAATTATATGAATTTGATTAAAAAATGATCGATAGTATTCATTGAATGAAAAATTTGAATGAAAAATTTAAATAAAAAATTTGGATGAAACTTTTTAACCATATTATAACCAAAGTATTGATAGAAAATAAATCTTATTATTTAGTGATGAATTTTTGACCAATGCATGAATTTGGTCACGAATTAGTTAAGAAACTTTGATGAATAAAGTTCGTCAAACTTTGACGAAAGTTCTGATCAAATATCGGTCAAAAAATTTGACCATCTTTTGACCATCTTCGAAATATTTAAATTTCTGATCAATTTGTGAACAAATTTAATTAATTTCAGATTTTTATAATTAATGTATAATTGATAATAAAAATTTCACAGTTTTAATTAAAAATGGTTATTAATACATAAAAAATAGTATATTAGGCCATAGAAAAATAATAATTTATAGAAAATAGTATATTTGTTTGAAACACATCACACTGATTTAATTATAGTTTCATAATGAAAACACAAATTTATTTTGATTCAGATGAAAATGAAGATGAATTCTCGAATGATGTTGACTCATAAGGTTTTTAAAATTCTCCAATCTCTTCTTCTATATCATCATATCGTCTGTTATTAGGTTCTGTAAATCAACCAAAGATGTGTCCTCCACGGAATGATCAACCAAACTTTGGTAACTAACTGATGTTTTTTGCAATGGATCGATCATTTGGTACAACTCCAAGAATTTTTCCTCGAGGGGTTATCTGAGTAACTGTGATCCAAGGGTTCTGTTTTCGTGTGACATAGGGATAACATATGTAGCACACTTGATCGGTTTGTGATGCTAGAATGAAAGGATCATATTTGTTAAGTCTTCAGTTGTAGGATCATACCAATCACACCAAAAAACAATGCATTTCAAGTTGATAACGCTAGGATTCTCTACTTCCAAGATGTTTTTAAGAACACCATAGTATTTTGTAATACCTGCTCACGAATATTCCATGGTTAAATGCTGATATGGTAGTACCTTCGTGGAAACATTTAAATGAATATCTCCGTGTGCAGTACCTCGGCGAACACATTGCACGTGAAAGTGGTCCCCCAACCAACTCTTCAAACCATGTTAGAAATACTTCACCTCGTGCAGAACCTGAAGAAACCTGGCCAAAACTTGTACTAATACAATATATATGTTTGCATCATTTACAAATATAATTAGCCTTAAATTTAATCAATGTTATTAATGTTATTAAAACTCACACAATATTTAAGCCAATCTGCAAACTGATTTTCATATGCTTCCTATATTTCGTCTTCAGCCAAATGCGGATATCTTGCTTAAGTAGGTGAAGAAATTTGCTGAAATTATTCAAAAGTTAACATAATTAGTTGCAATTAAGTAAAACATTATAGTTGTTAAAATTGATTATATGCACCTATCATATATTAACACTTCATCGCATTTATGAAGAATATATATATATATTATATATATTATATATATATATTATATATATATATATATATATATATGAAAGTGAGTGAACTCCTGATCTGTTAGCCAAGTCTTCTTACGTTACCCACTTGTGCAAAGATATCAGGTACAATAGTAGGATAAATAGGTTTTTCACCTCTATCATTATTGCGACTAGACTTACGAGTCTTTGTCTGTATGTTGGGTGCGAAGTAGTAGGCCGAAAATTTTGATATCTTTTCATTAATATTTTGAGCCACAATAGAACCCTTAACTTTGTTTAAATTCTCAACCTTCTTTTTAAGATGGAACATGAAGCGTTCGAATAGATACATTCACATGTGCTGCATGTGTCCTCCTAGCGCAGTGATATTACCATATATTCTGCATATTTTTCATGCATTTAGGATAGTTTTTCATGCATTCATCTTGCATTATAGGCTAGTTTCTACCATTTGTTGCATTTTAGGTCCTAGGTCCCTTTGCATTCGCATTTTGCATATTTCTTGCACTTTTGCATCATTATCAGGTTGTTTGGAGCACTCTGGAGTTGTGGAGGTTATGTGGACGTGGGGAGGATCAAAACGAAGCTTGTGGACATTTGGAGAACCCAGCCATGCATGCAAAGGACCCGAGATCGAGAAGCGGATCGAGCAAGGCAGGTCGATCTAGACGAGATCGACCAGAAGATCGAGTGACCCAAGTCGATTCAAGGGGAAGGATCGAAACCAAGATCGAGAGAGGAGATCGATCTAGAGTACAGACGTAGATGACGCTATGCAGAACGAGAGCCAGATCGAGTTCGTGACTCGATCATCCGACCAATCGACCCAAGGATCGAGCAAAAGCAGACGATCCAGCCGAAGAATCGAGTGATCAGATCGACTGGCTGGCTCGATCTCTACATCCTTATCCGGCCAACTGGATTTTGGACTCTTGTGAGGGGGGGACCATTTCCTTTTTTGGCCTATTTTAGGCAAACGAATGTAAACCATTCATTTTGTCTTGGACCTTTTAAGCTTTCTTAGTGTCTAAGGCGATTTTTAACCATTGTTAACGATTTCAAGCTTTTCATACTTTGTGGATCTTAAATCTTGCTTAATCGTTAGTATTTTCTTTAATCGCTCTTCTTTAATAATGCTTAGCTTTCTTTTCTCTACATTTCAATCGGTTTTAATCATGAGTAGTGAGTAGATTTTCTTTGGGTAAGGGGTTGAGGCGATTCAAGGGTTTTAGGGGTTTAAGCTTTTGGATTTCTTTTTGTTCTTAACTTATTCCTTTCTAGGATTTGGGGTCTTAAGGCTTAGAAACTCTTGGAAAAGATCTCTATGATTCCAGGGTTTCTGTTACCTTGACCGAATTCAGAGATCCTTGAAAACCAAATCCTAGAGACTAATCTATCCTCTCCCAAACGCCATGGTTGAAGAGGGGGTTAGTTAAGCCACTATTTAGGATCTTTTCTTAATGTTCTTTGACCCATATTTCCACTACACGCCATAGGTCAGGAGGAAGGGTCAGAGAAAGGGGTCTTACCACACGCCATGGAAGATCCTTGTTTAAGTTTCCTAAGGCTTAGGGAAAGCTCTATAAATGAGTAGATCTAGATGTTTTCAAACCAAAGCTTGAATCTTTGAATCTCTTGAACATGACCCTCGACCTTGAACCCTCTTTTTAGCATTTTAAAACCTCTGTTCGTTCTCTTGTCATAAAGCTTGCATCTTTGTTCTTTAGAAGTCATTCGCTTAAGTTGTTAGAATCGACCTGTTTTACCCGATTTATCTCTCGAGTTTTAGTTATTAGTAGATTTGCATTTTTAATCTTCTGCTTTCTCCTAGTAGTAGTTAACCCTCTTCCAGAGATTTTGAAATAGTTTGCTTAGTAGTTTGGTCATTGCATTTAGTTTTCTTTGATTTTACCATCTATTTACCCGATCTGCTTAGATTTGCTTAGCATTTGCACTCTTAGTGTTCTTCCTACATCCTAGGCTGGATTGATACCCTTACTGCTATACTACATCATTTTTGTGGTTTGGGATTTGATATTTTACCTTGCAAACAATCTGTTTATCAAATGGCGCCATTGCCATCTTAGGATTGTTAGGAAGCATTAAGATTTGGTGTTTAGCAAAGACTAAGCCTTTTACTTTTATTTTGATTACT